AACCCCCCCCCCATCCTCTGACTCTCTCTACTTTTCCCTGACCCTCATGCTGTTTTTCTTCTTCTGTCCCACATGTGTCCTTTCCTGCAGCCAGCGCTGCACAGCATCTATATGTGTATAACAGCAACCTGTGAAACATAGTGAGCCCGTTTGGGAGGGACACCACCCGAACATATTTGTGCTGCGTACGGTCACTGCTCCAAGTGGCAAGTAGAGACAGATCCCCGATGGGGCTGTACCAACACAGCTGATCTTGGCAGTATATTAGGCGATAGACGCCGATCGATGTTGGGCTTCAAATTGTACAATGAAACAATGTTGTGTGCCCTGATGATGTTGCTCTCAGGCTTGCCTGAAGATTCCAGCTATTCTGTATGTTTATTTGTCTCCTTTATATTTTCCTTGTTATGGTGAAATGTCTGTTTGCCATTAGGTTTTGTATTGTATTGAAATCTTTAATAAAATCAGATTGGACTAAAAACATAACAGGGGTTCCAAGTCAAGCCACTTCTCTATCTATGGTATATAAAACTAATCAGGGGCCTGTTTATAACTGGAAAAGGAATTGTGACTGGAAAAGAACAATCCTTTATGTTATTAAACTGTGTGCAGGACGCTCTCTGACATCTAATTTCCTGCTCATGCCCCTGGATTACTATCAGGTTAGGATATAAAGACCCGCTGCTCATAGTAATGATTATATATTTTTATGCAGAATCAGGGAAGGGTTTATATATTTATATGTTAAGATGTCAGTCCCTCCTTGGTGAACTGGTTAAAGGATCCTTTAGACCCCATGACCAGTTAAGCGGTTAGTGAAAGTAAGGCTAGCTATACACTGGTAGAACAGCAGATTCCTGTGAATTCTTGCAGTGGGTGGCCCTGCTGGCTTGACAAAAGTCAACTGCTTAAATTTACATTTTTCAAGGGAGTCGGCGCAAACTTTTTCTGCAAATCAGCTGCAGTGACTGTATGTATTCTGACAGCAGCAGGTGTTGGCTGTCAGAATACAATAGCTGCATATGTCCATCTAGGCTGTGGGACATAATGTGTAAAAGTATCCAAAAGTTGGATTATTTGTTATGGGCAATTTACCAGGCAGCTATAAGTCAAATGATACATTTGCCCAATTCAGACCTAATTTTCTTTATTACACTGAAAAAATAAGGTTGAGATGTGCAACACATTTCTGTCCCACTGTAAAATATACCATTGCCAGAGTTGTGTTTTTGTTTAATAAGCACAAAAAACCTGAGTTGATTCTGCCATTATGCGAGTCAATCATTTCCGGTTATCAGCACAGTTTCCAGTTCACTATGGACTACAAAACACTTCTCCCCTAAGTTATCTAGGTAGTCCTGACCTAGGGTGACAACACAGCTTCTCCATAAATACAGTAGAGTGAGTGTTGTCACCCTAAAATAGGAAGTGTGTTCATGGCACAAACACCAGATAAAAAAGAAACATTAAGCCTTAAAAACAAAACAAAACAAAAAATGAAACTAATAGCAGCCACCACATTGAAGGACTGGTAAGCTGCAATATATTATATTTTTGTTCCTTTGTTTAGATACAGTTTAAATGAACGTCTAATGCATCGTCCAACTGTTTTTTCAAGAGAATTGTATTTTTTTGTGTGTGTAGCTTGCCCTTCAACATAAGAATAGTAAATCAGTAGTAAACACATAAAATTTATTAGCAAAAATTTTTACTCCATGGTATAAAAAAAAAAAAATAGCACACCAAAACAAACCAAGAATACGATATATTCCAAAAAGAAAAAATATGAATTCATTACCACTGCTGAAAAACCTCCTCAATTTAAATGCCAGAGAATGTATCAAACCTTAGAAAAACCATAAACACTAGCAATGAAAGAAAAAAGATTTAATTTTCCGGCTAGGTGGTTCCTGCTGACGTACTCTGCAGAAAGGGAAGAATTATTGTCTTATATATCACAGGCACACTGCTATCATAGCTCATTAGCAAAATAGTCGGGCCTGGGTTTTATTAGTGTTTATCAACACACAGCGTGCCCGATGCAAGGCCGCTGAAGCAAGCATTGACAAATATTACGGACCGCGGTAAAGATTTACATGGTAGTGGGAAGAGAAAATTGTTTCCCATAAAAAAAAAAGCAGCAGCGCTGAACTCCTTACAATAGATGGCAATAATGAAATTCAGCAGGCGTGACAGTGGCAATGAATTTATTTTAAAGTGTATTTGTGGGGGCATAGATACTGAAGACACGGGTCATTTCAAACTAATTTAAGGTTGTTTTTGCCTTTAGTTTCATTTTAAACTCAAAAGAATAAAAGAGTGATGAAAATATATTTATACACATAAAAATTTTGCGACATACTCGCTGAGATGTCCAAAAGGATTCCACATAAAGTTATTACACAAAAAGTAACAAAAAGATACTAGGGCATTATTTGGCAACAAGGTGCAAAGGATCATATGAGCAGAATGATAATCACATCTCACTGCTAAATTGCTGTAAACTGAAATCGGACTGGCTAAGACCTTTTATCTTACTTACCCGCGCTCTGCACCATGTTAGTAAATAAAACACCAAGATTTATTAAGCCCTTCAAATGGTTTCGGCCATACCCCATTTCAATCTCCCAGCAAAACCATTAACCAGCTGGTACGTGAGAGAATGTGCATGTGAAGAACAGCAGTCCACAAGCAGCCTTGTCCTAGAAATACCTAGAGAGTATTTGAGGGCTAGACTTTTAGTATATTGCATCCAGTCTTTTTATATTAAACAAAGCTTTCCATGGCTTAAAGGGACACTAAACTCAGGATTTAAACCTTAAGAATGCATTCAAGTACCTTAACTTAACAAAAATAGTTAAGTTACATGAAGGGCAATGGGGAACAAAAGTAGCCACCCTCCAGAAGGAAGGACAGTGTCAGCACTAATTCAGAGATGATTTGCTGATCAACAGCTGAGTGATACACAATAAGCTAAATTTTTGTTAATAGGATACTTGAATGCATATTTAAGATTTAACTCCTGAGTTTAGGGTCATTTTAAAGCACCTCTACTGCACCAAATTTGAGCTTTTGGCCAGACTTACAACTTGTGATGCAGGTAGGAGCACTGGCATGAGCTGGAATCCCACCAAAAGAGGGCCTATAAATCCAGCTATTGCTGGAAGCCATAGTAATGCTCCAAGATACCAAAATACTGAATTTATTATGTCAGCAGTAGCAAAGACCAGATAATATCAATAGTTTTTTTTAGAACCTTTAAACTTGCAAACATCACTTTGCAGCATTCACAAATACATTCATGAGGCACTGCTGAACTTTGGAAGGATTACAGAAGACATCATTCCAGCTATTTATTAATAAATGTGTTTATTTTTATTTTAATGAAACTAATGTGTGTCTGATTTTTACCTGATATCAACCTGCAACCTATCAACCTTACAATCTCCTATATAGTAGCACTCAGACTAGAAGAGAGAAGGGCAGCACTGGCAGCCAATCTGGTGTGTCGCATGCAATTATGTTGACAAGGGACATGCTGATAGGAAGGAAGGAGCAGAAAGATTGCATAAATAATCTGCTCCTTCCAATCAACAGGGCCCATGACCGGTTGATATCAGCGGTGTATTTTTTTTTTTTTGTAACAAAGAAAGTGGTGCGGGTGTGGTGGGGCTGTGTCAGGTTTAGAAATAAATGGATAGGAACACATATCCTATGGTGAGTAAAAACAGCTCCTATATATGCATTTCATATGTGCCTATATATTTGCCTGGAGATCAACTTTAAAAGCCAAATCTATCCTATTAAGAGTTCAGAGCAGCAAAGTCATCACTTCCCTGTTTCCTTATTTTTGTACAAGCTTGTGAAGTATAATCTATTGTCAACAGGAAAATAATCAGAGTCAGCCTGTTACCATAGAATAGCCACTGCCAGCAAGGTACCGAGAGAATGTTATGCAAGCTCAGAGCCATAGACTGCATGCTGTAGACATGGCTGTGTCTGAAGAGACAGTTGGCTACAACACATACTTCAAAAGAGTGTATAAATAATAACCAAGTAATCAACACCTTTTCCATTTTGTATCTTGTTATACAGTATCAAGATGAAGAAAGCTGGAGTTGTGTCATAAAAGAAATATGCAGACTGCCATTGCAGAGCTCTCCTGCAAATACTAGCTGCCCGACTGTCAAGCTGACTCTCTTGTTCTAGTATTTTCAATCACTGAAGCAGAATTATGCAGAGAGGTACCTCTGACTTGTTCTAGGTTAAAAAAAAAAAAAAAGAAGTAAAGAGTAACTAGACTTTCAGTTTAAATAAGCTAAATATATTCCGTATGGATCAGAACCAAAGTGTTCAAAGTCTTACAGTTTTTTTCATTAGAAAAGTAGCCACAGAAAAGCTTTTGTCCCCCAATTGCAAGCTTCAAGCAGGTGTGTCTGTCCTGGGTGTAGAGACCACCGATTCCATACAGACAGAAAGGTTCCTTCTCTACAGCATGACAGAGGGCAGGTTTTTAATTGAAAGTTCCGTGGGGTCTTTAAAGCTAACGGATAAGCCTAACAGTCGGTGAACTGGCATTTTCAGAAGGAGATAGGCAATTGCAGTTCCAGTATTTATCTCATTATAGGTTTATTTTAAAGCAGTGGCTATCCTAGAATTAAAGATCAACTCAAGCTAAAACAAATAATAAGGTCATTAATTGACAATGACGAGTTGATTCATCACTACACTCGTAAATCACTCAAGATTCTCCAGCAGTGAGATTTTCTGGAAGTATTTGTCTCCACCGATTCCCAGAAAGCAAAATCATAGGTGTTAATCATTCACTGACAAGTGGACTCCCCGTTTTGTTCAGTACGATGGAGAATCCATCAGAAACAAGACACCATCATTTGGCCTTGTACTGATCACACGGTTTGGCAAACCTGTGAATTGTGGCCGGGATATCTTGACATTGAAGTATTTGAAAGGAATGTCAGTATATGATTTTGCTCACCAGCAACCATGCAAAATGGAATCAGTAGCGGGTGGATTTACTATTTACTGTCCACTTTTTTTTACAGTGTAAATGAGGAAAAAGATGCTGAGAACACTTATGTTCATTTCTGAGTTCATCTGTTACAGAACGCAGAAATTGAAGTATTTGGAAGAATTGTAATGAACACAGACAAGACATAACCATAACTAAAATGTTTTTATAATCAGTGTTTCCAGGGAGCCAAATCAACATGGGTGGGATGAGTGTTGGAAGAAAGGCTGCTTTCTAATCTATAGACTTATCCAACAAAAATGCGTTGCACTAGTGAACTTTTGGCCCGAAAACCACACAACGTTATACCTATACAGAATCCCTGCATGTATGTAAACTGAATATGGAAAAGCAACATACTTTTATAAATATCAACCTCTTAATGCTGCAGGCAAGCTTTTTATACAGATAACCCCAGTTTTGGATTTTCAAGGCCTGTTTAAAGGACAGGTTCACTTTAGAACAAAACTTTCCCAGTTCCCTAACGTATCACATTCTATAACCCCTCCACCTGCTTTCCAGTGCCTACTTACCTCTTTCTAAAAGCACTGGTGCCCTGCCTTATTTATAACCTCCGTACAGCAATCTTGCCTGACATTCTCCACACCTGGGCAGCAACTTCACATAGACTAGAATGGAACATTACTCCAGGTGCAGAGGTATAGCCCATTCAAACCTATGAGACGTCCCTACAGAGGCAATATTGAAAAAGATTTCTGAACCCCGGCTACAGAAGGATGCCACCGTGGGAAAGAATTATGGATCCGGGAGGTAGTGGTTCAGCTTTAAATAGGTTATGGGTTGGAAGGGGGCCTGTGGAGTTTTTATTCCAACCTGAACATGTCCTTTGATAGGTGCGCACCTCCGCACAGCCTCCTCCCTCCCCCCACCCCCCCCCCCCCCCAGTTCAGATCCAGTGGAGAGCTTCCAGTGCAGGCTCTTTTTGTGAATGTTGGCACGGTGTAGTTACTCTCAATAATACAGCTCTTTAGCTGTGGGATTATCGGCTGACTAAATCTTAAGGTACTTGGCTGGCTACAAAGCAAACAAAGGTTTGTACATTATGGAATCACAGTTTTGGTCAGTGCAAGAGTGTATGAAATTGCTGAATTCTTCCACACTCTTCAGCTTTGAGCTAATGCCACTGGAGGCATAACAAATAACTCATTTTTAAAATGCTCTGGTTCAATATAAAAAGACATATCTATATGGGAAAAAACACTATCTGCTTGGTAATATCAGACTGCTGCTTTCAAGTTTTATCAGTGGCCCTTTTTAGAGGAACCAAACCCTGAGAAACCCATAACAGCGGCCATTTCATCATCTTCTTCAAAGCCAAGGTCTTCCTCTGCCTTCCTCTTCTTCTCCCGCTGCTTTTCTTTCTTATAGGCTCGTGCTTTTTCTTCCTAAGAGAGAAACATGATACAAGCTACTTATACAGACCAATAGAGGAGTTTTTTTTACAGTTTTTCTGAAAGGTGACCCAGTCATTGCTCCTTCACTTACATGCTTTTGTATGAATAGTAGGTGGGTCTGTTGCATTGGATGTACAATATGGCTACATTTAGTCTAAAAGGGATGAAATGCCATGTACATTAAGGAGAATTTATCAAAACTGGAGCAGACAAAATCTGGAGCAGCTGTGCTTGGCAACCAATCAGATTCTCACTTTCATTTTCAAATCCTAACGAAACAAACTGAAGAGAGAAGCTGATTGGTTGCCATGGGCAACTGCTCCATATTCGGTTTGCTCCAGTTTTGATCAATCCCCCCATTATGTATAAAAACCCAAAAAAATAAATAAGAAAGGGCTGTTTATTATAACACGCCTCAACAGAAGAAAACAAAGATAATGTAATTGCTTTATAGTGTGAACAAGCCCTTAAAGGAGTTCTAAAACCACAGCACACACTATCCTGTTATAACATCAGTACTGTAATAGGAATACATACTATAGCTGTTTTTGATAATGCAATCAAAGCTTACGTGAAGAAAAAAAAAAGAAAAAAATAAACCTTTGATGTAGCGAGTGCTGCCTTCCATCTGCCTATCACTTTTAATTTCCTGGTTTCTTATTGTACTTTGTGTCTCTTTCTCTGCTACTTGATGTGATGTAATCTTGATTTCTCAATATTACATATGCCATCATACAGTGTTTCCAGCAAGCAATGATGTCACATTGGGGGAAGTTTAGACATTGAGTTGTAGTTCAGACTGAAGGCTTGTTCAGAATAGTGACACAAGGAAGTGCATATTCACAGGGCTAAGGGAAATTGATCGGTGAAATTGATCAGTGAAAGTGTATTACCAGAAGTCTGTGTTGTGCAGCTTAATTTCTCTGCTTCCAGTATCAACATATGATTTAATACAATTAGCTCCTGTAAGAGACTTTATAGCATTGATATTTATTTACATGAAGCTTTCTGTATGTGAGTGAGTGTCAGGAAGGAGTCTATAAGGGTTGTGTCTGAGAATAGTTTGTGTGAATCACAAGCAGGGTTTTTACATGATCAGACTACTGATAACATGAGTGGAGGGTATGGTTGGTACACTACAAGGCACAATGAAGTACTGAGCAGACAAAACAGTGCTCCCTTCAGGCACCGAAATGATTTTTTTTTCAATTGTGACTGGCTTGCACCTTTAGTAGAAGTGTTTGTTACCTTCACCAGTAGTGTTTTCTTGGAGCAAATGATTTAGTAAAAAAGAAAGGCTGGACTAGTAGGACAACCCTGAAAGCTGCACCTTTAAAAACAAGTCAGAAACACTGTCTATGGTGTTTTTATTTCCATGGGACCCTTTACCCATTATCACTGTTATTAATTAATTCAATTGTCTTTAAAGCAAAAATTGAAATCTAAAATCCTTAAAGAGTACAGACAACAGCATAAGCTGTTAGAAAATACCACTTGTTAAATATCGGGGGAGTCCAGTTCCTCATAGAGCCTCTGTTTGTCAACTTCCTGCATGTGGGAATTGTGCAGTCCACTGCAAACATCTCACAATGAACAGTGACAAATAAAATAAGCTTTAGCAGGAGCCTATACCTATAGAAAAGTAACAATCACACCTGAATGGAATCAAATTATAAAAAGGTTATCACGACAAACTCTTTTCACATTCTATGACCTCGATGAAAGCACGTGGCCAATGGCCTTGTGCTTTTTATTGAAAAGAAACATGTGCATATTATTAGCAGTTTTATCTGTGAATGCAGCTTTTTCTACACAGCATTCACTTAGCCCCGACAAAAAACAAAAATGCTCATGACTGCACCACAATTTAAAAATATGTGTTGTATACCACACTAGCGGTTTAATGTAAATAGTCTTATTATAGAGGTAGAGAAATATATCTTAGATTAACCTGTGGATAACCTGGATACAAATCAAGAGCATGTGACCACTGAATATGGCAGACATTTTCTTAAATACAGTAAACTCTCCATTATCTGGCATTCAAGCAACAGGAAAAAAAAAAAAAGATTAGATTTGTTTTGCCAGTGGCTTGATGTGCATTAAAAAGCTGTCGGTTGCTTGGTGCACACTAAAAATGTTGTTCGCAACTAAAATTTAGTTGCAAACTAAATTCTTTGTTTATTACTCTAGATTCCGCGGTCGCCAGCTATTGTGCCCGCCACTGAGCAGAGGAGCGAACTTGAGAGAGAACTTTCTCAGGTATGCTCCTCTGCTCAGTGGTGGGGTTTCAATAGCCAGCCTGCTATTGCAATTTTGAAATAGCCAATAGCAGGTTGGCTATTGAAATCTTGGCCACCAAGCAGAGGATCGTACCGGAGAGAGAATTTTCTCTCTGGGCCGCTGCTCTACTTGGTGGGCGGAGTTTCAATAGCTAACCTGCTACTGGCTATTTCAAATGCAATAGCAGGCTGGCTATTGTTCCTGTCCACTGAGCAGGAGTGGACTTGAGAGAGAACTGTCTCTCAGGGCCGCACCTCTGTTCAGTGGGTGGGGCTTCAATAGCCAGCCTGCTATTGTAATTTGAAATAGCAATCTGGGTATTACTCCTGGCTGGAAGCTAGCCAGCAGGTGAATTGGGCTAGGGGGGGGGGGCAGTAGGGCGCTGCACGGATGGTTGCTTAACTCTCAGGGCCCTGTCACACCATGTCCGGACCAGATCTGCACACGTTTCTGCAAACGTGGTGCGGTGCGTTTGTGACGCATTCCAGTGCGTTCTTTTGTTTTTGGGCGGTAATGTCATTATGCAAATTAATCTCTTCCTGCTCCATGTCATAGCTTCTGTTGCATTCCAGTTCAGTGCGTTTGTGAGGCGTTCAGGTGCCTTCCAGTGCAGGAAAAATGTGACATGCATTTTTTTTCCTGCACTGGAAGGGATTGGACTGGTGTGAACAGAGCCCAAAAATCACATACAAAATGCATTAGGATGTATTTTTGTTGCGGAAGAAAAATTGAATGTACCGCATCTGATCCGGACATGGTGTGAATGGGCCCTTAAGGAACCAGAAACTACAGTTATCTGGCACCTACCGATCCCTGTGGGTGCCGGATAACTGGGAGTTTACTGTATTATACAGCTCTAATACAATGACTATAATTTTTAAAACAAAACTATCATAAGGATTAAACACATGCCCATATATATGAAGTTTAACTAATCCTAGGCTTGGAACAAAGCCCAAGCTTTCTGCTGACTGCACAGCTCTAATGTAATGGACTGCAGCAGAGAGGCCGCTGTTCACACACAGATAACAATGGTCTGAAGCTTGCCACCAGGAACTGAAGTTTTCATCCTACTGTTGGAGTTGAAATCATTAAAGTGACATTAAAGTAAAAAAATTTCCCTCCCCCAATGTTAATGAAAGCACTTACCTTAAATAATAAATGCACGCATCCATAGACTTACCTTGTGTCTCTCCTCACGTCCCGGCCGAAAATGTAAACTGCACATGCGCCGCCGCAAGATGCTTTGCGGCCGCCCGAGCATCTTCACATTTTCAGACTGGAGCGCACAGGGAAGACACAGGTGAGTATTAACCTCTGTTAAAGCGTTTTTTTGTTTGTTTTTTTTAAACACTTTTTGCATAGATCTAATGCTTGCTAGCAGTAGATCTATGCAAAAAAAACAGAGGCTTTAATTATCCTTTAACAAAAGACAGAAAGCATTTTGGCTATATTTGTCTGAATGCATCCTCTTGATATCTATAGAATTTATTATAAGACATCAATTGGGCAAAAGAAATGGCCATAGAATGACAATGATCTCCATTTCAGTATAAATGTATTTCCCACCCCATCTGTATATACTAAGTAGGGTATGGTAGTTGCATGCATCCCTATGCAAGTGCAGATTTATCAGTCAATTAGAAAACGGATAGCCCCAGTCTTAAAGACCATGTAATTACATGTGGCTCCAGCATCTTTAAGAAAACCTTGGAATACCATCCTGCTCCAGGCATCAGCCTTTGCCAAAGCCTCTCAAAGTCATTGGCAATACTAAATGTGGACAACAACTGCACTCAATAGCATGCTGCCCATTCCTATACAGCAGGTCAGAGGCCTGGTGATTGACCACTCAACCCCCAACTATTACATTGTATGGAAACATGTGGCGTGACACGCGATTCCACATAAATGTCTACTACTGACATCCATGCCACATTCAAGTCATGGATGGCCACATCTAAGGCAGTCCCATAAGTACAGACAAACCTCTCGGAGAACATGCCACGAGTGTGCAATGTGAAGTGTCCATCTCTCTTCTCCACAGCCCTGGCTTTACTGATCTCAGTGTTTCGAAAGCCCCATTCACACCTAGGTCTCATGATTTTTGCACATATTAGCATACGTTATCATCTAGCATTTTAAGTGCATTTTTGTTGGCAGATTGTGAGAGACATTGCGGTCAATGGATAAATACGTGTAAAAACTTTCAAAAAAACCTGCGCAACAATCTGCAAACCGCTTCTATCGCAGGTTTCCTGACAGTTTCCATGAAGACTATGGGTAAGAAGCCGCAAACTACCAAAAGAAGCTCATGTACTTATTCTTTGTGTTTGGCGCTTCGCTGCTGGCATTCAAACGTTCAGGTGTAAACATGGCCTATTAGAAATCACGGAATTTCTTGTGTAAAGGTGCCCATACACCTTTACACAAGAATGGTCCCTCCCCTAATGGGATTAACACCACAACAGAGGGGCAGAAAAATGAACCATAGCTAAATAATCGCGGGTGCTCCCGCGATCGTACGATAATCGGCAGGTGTATGGAAGGCGTGTGACCGTTTCTACTGTACGGTCGCACGTCTTTTGTCTTCCGAGCACACTTGAAAACCTGCCGAAAATCTACAATTTTCGGCGTGCTCGGAAGACAAATGCCGAACGGGCTGGTGTGCGCAAGCGCACACTGCCCACTCAGCATTGGAATCATCGGAAGCCCCCCCTCAGTGGAGAGGGCTTGCGATCATCGCAAGTACGATCTGCCTGTCCAAGATGGCCATATCGTACGAGATTTTATTTACCTTACAACCATCGCACAACGAAAGTCGTGCGGTGGTTGTAAGGTGTATGGGCAGCTTTAGGCATTTTGTAGCTCGTTTGTAACAGCTAAAAAACACCTAGGTGTGAATGGGGACTTAAGTAACTGTGAAGGGAAAAGGAATCCGGAAGTAATCATTTTCTACGCACCGGAAAGCTGATTGAATATGATAGATCCAGAGCACACAAAATGTAAGGCAGAGGGTGCCACTAACAACCACATTTTGTAAGGTTTTTTTCCCTCTCTTTTTTTAAAAATTCTACATGTAGTTCTCCTTCAAATTACTGCAACAGTGTTTTACGGCAGAAGATTGAGCCATCAATGACACACGAACAAGCAGAGCAGAGAAATAGGTCATAACTTTTTCCTGTGGACAATGGAAACAGGGGCACAAAGGAGCATATTATTTATAAAAAATGTATTAATTCTCCTTTAAGGGTTGCTAGTAACAGCACAAAAGCAGGGCAGACATTTGTGCCCTGAAGATATTGATAACACATCAAAGTGAATCAGATTTAGGAATAATGGTATAATGGAATTAACTCAACAATATGATCCATTTCAAGGCAAACACAGAGGCTTATGAATATTGTCATGACTCAATAGATGTCTGCCTTCACTATGTATAGGCAATAAGTGCTTTTAAAGTGCAGCCATAAAATTTGATGGACCCTGTAAAATGTGTTCACCTCTTCCCGCAGTTCCTTCATTCGCTCCTCAAAGTCATAGTCTTTTTGTTTTTCCTCCATTTTTTTCTTGTTTACTTCAAATCGTTTTTTAACTTGATCAAGTGTGGAACGCTCTACTCTCATGGACATCCCCAAGTTCCGTTGATCTGAAAGGCAAGAATCATTGCAAAATCAATAACAGTTTAGGTGTCTCTAGGATTTTAAATCCTGGACGTGTCTGCCCAGCAACGCACTACAACATTCTACGGAGCTATTTAGCTGAAGGGCATTCTATCCGTCTGAAGTCCGGAGAATTAATGGCAGGGACAGATTTAATTTACGGAAGAACGTGCGGAATTAATGCTGGAGACAAGAAGAAAGGACAAATGTTGCATCAACGCTAGACCCCTTCCCAGACTCAACACCGCAAAATGACTTGTAATGAATAGAGACATTAAGAAATATCACACGTACATAACAGGGCACACTCAAACAAACAACCATTTGCTTTGATCACCATTTAGTGGTTGCCGACAAAACAATTCATTCTTTTTGTCATGATGACCCATTCCGATAAACCATGCTCTGAATAATTAAAACCAGTTTATTTTGTCACAATCACAGCAAGAAGCGAGGCCAACCATACATAGCAATGTGATGGTCTGAGCTTCGCTAGGGATAATTACAGTTTTCTAAAAAAGTTAGGGCACCACTGACCAAATTAAATTGTTTTTCCCAGCAAACAGAATAAGGGCACATAGAAAAAAAAATTCTATGTGGCCCCTTCACACCACAACAGAGGGGCAGAAAAATTAACCATGGCTACATTTTTTTGCAATGGAAATCTCCGAATGTTCATCTATATTTTATGCACCACAGCTCAGTTGAGGCACATAGAAATGAATGAAATGTCACTTTGTGGCATTTCAATAAAGTTAAATTACAAAAAGGGGTAAACAGTGCCCTGCATTGTAATAAGACAACACACTGCCCAC